GCTCCGCACCGCACCGGATGTATTTTGAATCGCTTTTTGGGCAGTGTCATCGCTTTGCATTTGGAGTACTCCGGCTGCGTGTTCCTAATGTGACAGTTTAATTGCAGGTGAGACGCGGCAGACGCGTGGCCGTAGCTCCGAAAACTACGATGATGCAATTAGACAGGCAACGACTTTTCCATTGTCCTGCAATGACTTCTCAGCTGGGTGTGCGGGTACCAGTGCCAGTGCCCGTACCCGAGCCCCTGGCAGGGCTCGTCATGTGTTGTGCTCCGGCTGTGCAGTCTGGCATACAAAGTCGCCTTCTGCGCCAATCGAAGTGTCTATTGGACTATAATGAGCTTTCACTGCTTTAACAACTTTTATCGTTGGAAAGGAATTAATTTTAATAGCATTTTGTAATATTTTAAAAACTATTTTGGATATTAATTAATGAGATGATACAGTTTAATAATAAAAAATAAAAATATGAAAAAAAACTAACAAATAATTTTATTAAATATATATACATATATAATGACATCAGCTTATAAAATGTTTTTTTGCCTTCTTATTATGACATCTATTTTGGTACTAGGGAAGATTGTGATTATTATGATAAATTCAAATGAATTTAAATGATATTTCGATTATACAAATTCAATCCGTTTTCTGATAATGCAAAGTATACAGTTAAAATAAATAATTAAATAACTTTATGGTTATTAAGAAACTAAGTGTAATCCATAGATCGATCAAATTCCTTATATAAAGTATTTCAGTAAATAGAAGTGAGTTAGTAGATATTAAAAATCTAAATTTTATATGGATCATAATCACGTGAAAAGTATAACACGATCTCCTATTCAACAATTCCTTAAAGCTGCTGGGTACAGACAGACGCAGTGCCTCGATAAAAAATGTAGGCTGTAAACTAGATCAAAGGCGTTGCCTCGCTGTCAGGGTCTGTGGCTCAGGCCAAATTCTTAATTTAAACCCACCCACGAAATAAAAACAAAAAACAAAAACTTTCTCACATTACCTCACGGACCAATGGCAGTGGCAAAAGGACGAGGACGAGAACGGGGACGGGAATGAGTACGTGAACGGAATCGGTCTAAATGGACATCGTTTAATATTGATGGGCATTGTTAGAGCTCTTTATGATGAGAAAGCGCTGTAAAGGATGGATGGAGTTTTTGCCAGTGCTGCCTTTCGGCTTCAAGTGAATATTTAATTAAATTGTTTTCTAATAACCACGCGCAACTTTGTTGGGCTGCACGCGCCAGGACACGCGGCAATCGAGCCGACCAGCCAGGACACACCTTGTTGTGCCAACAACATTAGCAAGGGCGGTGCGCCTCGCTTTCGATGGCCCAAAAAGCCAGAGCCACCCCTTTCCCACAGCTCGGCCAGCTCAGGCAGCTCAGCCAACTCAGCTAGCTCGACTGGCTCGACCTGCTCGGAGTTCTCTGTCCTTTCATGTGCTTCTAATTTTCCAAATTACGCACCATCAATCATCGCAAGTTGCGACACGAGCTTGACGAGCGTCGATAGCGATTGCGATGGCGCTGTCGATGATGATGATGACGATGATTATGGTGTCGTTGCAAACTATGACCACCCAACCACCCAAAAATAGAACGACTGCCGCACCAATCGACAGCCAATCCCTGGGCGCTGGCACTTGAATCAAGCGACGCTGCGGCGGCCGCAAGTAAAAATTAAATTAAACTTCAAGTGGCCGCAATGTTGCGTGTGTGCTAAGGCAGCAGCGGCAGCAGCAGAGACAGCGGCAGCGGCAGCGGCAGGTCCTGGCTGCTGGCTGCTGGCAGAATGTGGCCTCATGCAGCTCAATTGTTGACTGTGGGAATCTGCTGTTGTTGTTGTTGCTGTTGCTGTTGCCTTTGCTTTTCCCATAATGCTTATTGTTGACGCTGTTGTTCTTCGTCTTGTTGTTCCTGTGGTCCAGCGCAATTAACGCTAATTGCGCTTAAGCATAAGCCGGACTTTTGACTTTTGCAACGTATTTTCAGCTACAGCTACGGCTTGTGTGCCGGACTTTCCCAGTTTCCGGTTTTCAATTTTCTTGCGCCTTAATCTGCGCCGTGTTTTCACATTGGCTTGACTCTTTGACAAAACATTTGTCTTGTAATAGTTTTACAAGCATAGCTTAGGCACCAGCATAATGTTAGGGAAGACGGAGGTGAGCGACTGTCTTAAGTCCTTAGCTAAACCAGGATGAAGGACTAACTCTAACCTCTTGAACAACTTTTTAGATGATTACGGATGACTAAATAAGCCCAAAAACAAATAAACAATTAAAATTAATGATATTCTAAGAAAGTGAATGAATGAATGATTAGTTAAAAGTTTCATGTAATATATTTATTCGAAAGAATTTATTTATTAAGTAGATTTTACTAATTTTGAATACATAAAAAAAGTCAATACCTATGAAACATATATAAATAAAATAATTTTTAAATATTCATATAAATATATGTATTTTATATATGTATATTATATAACCCGTAACGATCAATATTATATAGTTAAGAATACAGAAAGTTATCATACACATATAAAATATGATTGGTATTATTAATTGCTATTATTCAGTACGATTTTCAATCATATTCTGCTTCTTTAGTTGTTGTCCTAATAAAAATCGAGCTTAGGAATAAGTAGCCTAATACTAATTATAGCCATTTCATAAACATCATTATATATTTCAATGAAAAGCCAATACATCTTAGCGATTGAGAGAAAAAAAAATATACCCAGTTGCTTACATTTTTTTAGCTCATATCAAGCCCAATTTATAATAATAATGTTACTGTTCCTATTCGATGACAAGAAATTTAATCTGAATCCCACTTCAATAAATTAAATAGCTAAGGCTGAAGAGGCAAGGATGTGAGTCTTGACAATGCAGTGCAATTAAGAGCTCAATCAAAGTGACTGCGGCTGGCTCTCCCAAATTATATTTATGGAATTATTATTGATGTTTGGCATTGACCACCAATCAACCCAGTGCATGGCGACCCGGCTCTAATTCCAATGCCAAAGCCGATTCGAGCACCCCAAGCCAATGGCCATTTTCAATTTGGTTGAGTAGTTGCTCGGACATTTGGCTGACCAGTTTGATTGAAGCGCAGACAGAAAATGCTGGCAGGCAGCCATTATATTTAAGCTGCCTCCGATCGCTGCTAATACATGTATATATGTATGTATGTATGCATGGTTGTATAGGGTGCACCACCCCATCCTCCTGTCATACACAATAACGATTCCCACATACTTTATATGTATTATGTACATAGTTGATTTGCTTGCTCCTCGCTCACTTTTAGAACTTTACATACACACACACACTCACACTCCCACACACACATAGTTATAGGTATAGAGCATTTTCTATGCTCGAGTAGGACGGCCTCGGATTTCATTCCTGTGCCGAACTATGCGCCTTTCCCGAATCATCATCATTGATTTGCAATGCCCGAAATGTGTCTGTCTAATGATTGAGGTTTGTTGCTGTTGCTGTTGCTGTTGTGCTGTGCCTAACTGCCAAACATTCGGCCATAGTTGTGTATATCTATATATGCATGTGTGTGCATGAGTGTGTGTTTATGTATGTGTGTGTGTGTTTGCCATCGTTTTTGGAAATATTATATGCTCATACCTCCGTTTTCGAGTAAATTGTGTAAATATTTGCGCTCGTAAGTGGATTGGAGATGGATGAGTTTATCAACAGCATATTCGCCGTCGCAGCAATGCCATCTCCATCTCCATCCCTATACCCATCCCCTGCTCCTACTTCTGCCCCATCCCCATCCTCATCCCCATTCCAATCACCATCATATTCACATGCGTAGCCAGCTGACTGATTGCCTTTGCCTGCCGCTAGCAATCCGAAGTTTGACTCTCAGCTCTTTGCCAACTGCTGCATTCCAGACCTTGATAACTGTATTGGCTAACTTCTATTCCATCTGTTCGATTGGCAGCAATGGGTTTAGGGTTTCAATTCCTAAATGCACTTATCCAGGATTGTTTTAGAAACCAAGATATAAATTTACTCAATCTAGCAATATTGTATTATTTTGTTTTTCCTTTTTTTTTTTTAGAAAATTATATTTTATTTACATTTTTATTTTAATATACCTTCATTATTGCATAATAGGCTTGATTTTTAGCATAGCAAAATCAGTATAAGTAAAAGAGTCTTTCTAAGTCAATTATTGAAGAAAAAATAAAGAAATTCAACGAATTTTTGTTTACAAAATTACTTTTCTATTTACTTGTTATTTATCATGCAGAAATTGAAATCAATATGAATACAAATACAATTGCGCCCGAATTCCGAATTTCGCGGCATTACGAATTTCTAAATATCACCAAATTCATTTTATTCGAAATTTAATTCAACCTTAGTTAGCAAAGACACGCACCACACAAACATGGGAAGATATTAGGTTTTTGGTTCTGAAACAGACTATTACAGTTTGGGAACGGTTGACTGAGAACAGTTTTTGCGCATATGTCACCTCAAACTGTTAACGAAGTTTTGAACCACATGACTTTTTAACAACTGCCCTGACAAACATAACGCAGCATTGATACAATAACACTCAAACTATTTAGTTATTATGAGTCGGATTCCCAAACTGTTAGCGATGTTTCAAACCAGTTAACTATTGCGCAACTGCTCCACAACTGTTCGTTAAAAATTGAATTGAAAATTTAAAAAACAAGATGTTCTATAATAAATCGTATCCCAAGAGTTACTACAGAATTTCAAATTTTCACAAGTCATTTTAAGTTTGTCCACGTCGTATCAAATAAAATGCCGTTTTTCATATGTAAAATGTGTACTGCTTTACTGCAGATCTATTACCTGCGCACCGTGCTGAAGACACAGTTACAAGGGTTTAATTAAACTATCTAAAAGCTATCACAGGCAGAACAGTAATTACGCACTAGAGAACTTAACTACAACTATGCACGTACTTGTATAGATATGTATATGTATATAAGTGTGTGTCTATATATGCCGTGAGCAGCGTCTGGGCGCCATCTTCGTGCACAACATGCATTGAGGAACTTTAAAGTAACTAATCGCTGGTCAGGTTCGGCTTATCGACTTGGGTGATTGAGTGGCAGGTTGAGCTCCCACAGTTTCATGTTGTTGTCGAGCACTTCGTGGAACCAGCTCTGCTTCTGCGGATGATCCCTGAACACAACGTTCACTGCCTTCAGGTCCAGCTGCAGGATCGCATCGTTGCCCAGCAGGCTGTCCAGCGACCTCAGCAGCGTGCTGTTCCCATGCAACTTGAGCAGGGTCACATACTTGACCACGTAGTACTCGTATTGCAGCTTGCGGCGAGCCCAGCGCTCCACTGTGGCGTTGGCACTGGCCGAGCGTATCTGGCCGAGGTGCTCAGCGAACCACGGCGCAAAGTAGTTGTACAAGTCGAGTTTGGAGAGGCCGTTGAGGCCTTTGCTCTTGATGCGCTCCTTGATCATTTTGTAGTTCTTGCGACTGTACACGAACACCTGGTAGAGCGAGTTGCCAGTCGTGTAGGAGTTGACGTAGTGCGTGCCGAAGGACTCCATGAATCGCACAGCCGATGACACATTGCCCACCTGCACCTGTTGCACGCGCGCTTGCACTTCAGATTCCAGCGGCTGATTGACGGGTATCTCGGAATTCAGCTTGCCCGTCTCGCGGAAACGGACGACGCGAACCAGCACATAGGAGTAGTCGCCCACAATGAAGGACGTGTTGATGCCCAGCTTCTTGGCCGCATTATCTGGGAACCAGCCGCCCGTGAACGCCTCCCAGGGCTTGTCCAAACGCTCTATGGTAAAGTCACGGAAATACGCCTGGAACAGTTGGCGACGATTTTCGCAGAACTCCATGTGGAAGTCGCCATGGAAAATGCCAGGCGCCGTATACTCCTGGCTCTCTGACAGCTCACTCATATTCTGAAAAAGATAAAACACACATAAATATTTTAACATATAAGGAAATGTATATACTTAACATATATTTCCAAGAATTATCATACACTAATATTTATTAACCAAAATGCAAATTAATCTTCCATTCCGGAAATGCCAGCAAATATTATTAAAAATGCTGATGAATATTTTTTTCTTGGTTACTCTTCTTCTTCTATGAATTTAAGCATAAGTTTCTTGGAATGACATGGAATTTTATGTGGCCTAACTTCTTTGATATTGAAATCCATTTAACGAAAGAACTTGGAACTCTAACTCAAGAGACAAGCTGATAAACTTGAGGGTCAATAAAACAGAAAAAAAAAAAAAAGAATTCTTATTTCTTGTTTGAATCTAATCAAACTGAGCTCCAATAAATTACAAGTATAAAACCTTGAACAAATACTCACCTTATATATATTGCGCGTCGGCTCCTTAAATATCCAGCGCTCGCTTTCGGCACTGTCGTTCAAGGGTATCACGCGCATCGATATGCCCAGGTAGCCGTATCGTAGGAATATATTAATCGCTTTGCCAATGCGCAGCTGGGACTCGCGGCTTCCACTGGCCGCCAGCACGAGCAGCCCCAGGGTCAGCAGCCAGAGCCTGAAGAGGCCCCGCCGCGGGCTCAGGCTCGGGCTCATCGCACAGCTGTTTCTCGGTCGGCATGCAACGGGGACTGCAAGTGTAGAGAGACGTAAGCGGGTCAATTGAAAGTAGTTTTTGTATCACTCATAACTTAGCGCTTACTAACTAGTTTGTGGTCGTTAATACATATACTATTTGTTTTTCTACTGAAATGTATCGTCCACAGACGACGATAATTTATGCGCACTGACTCTGTCCGGCAGCTTCTTCTGAGCTTCGAGCTCTAATTGGCCGTGAACCGGTAACTGAGTTGAACTTGAACCGAGGCAAGGTGAGGCCTGCAGCTACTAGATGAGCCACTTAAGTGGCTGTCGCTGCAATTAGCCACGAAACACACAGCGCTATAGAGATGTACAAATTGGATCAGCCAGCGATCGTGTTTCTTGTCGCTGTCTCTCTCTCTCTCTCTCTCTCTCTCTCTCCTTAAATGCAAATTATTTCCTCAAGATGATTTTTTATACACTTCGTAAGATTTTATAACAATTTGGTGCACCACTTTAAACCGGTTGTATGTTTGTCGATCTCTTGTCTGGGACGAGGAAGCCGCACAACAACAACTGCAACAACAACAACATCAACAACCACAACAACTTCAAAAACTGGCACAGCTTAGCCAAAGCCAAATCGGAAAATGCCAACAATATTGCAACTTGTTGCGCAAACTCGTCAAAAGCAGCTTAGAATTACCGACGTTATCAATAGCAGCAGCAACAACAACAGCAGCAGCAGCAGAAGCAACAGTGGCTGTGGCAGTGGCAACAACAACCACAACAAGCTCAGCAGACGTGTTGAACCGGTCAAAATAAAAAGGTTAGCCATAACACTCGGTGTCGGTATCGGGTGTTAGCCATGTCTAAATGAGTCACACCTGAGCGCGCTGAGGCGCAACATTTGCCAAGCGACCGACAAAGATGACGGTCAAAATGTGAGCTTTGTTAGCGAACCGTAAACTGTAGGGGACAACACACTCTCTGCAGTCGACGGTTGCACCTGTGCACCTGCAGCCGCAGGCAGCCAACACGAACACAGAAATACCCTAACTCCACCAGCACACGCCATTAAAGGCAAAGTTCTCAACTGACAGAGATTTCTGATCAGACATCGGAGAAACTCGAATCGATCATTAGCAAAGCAAATACGTTAACTAGAAAAAAATTAATATACAGATTGATGTTGTTGTTTTAGTAACATTACCTAACTAGTATTCTTTACTTGTATAAATTGTATAAATTCATCAGCATTTTTAATATGATTACAAAACAAATGCGAAGTTCAGCATGGCCTCGCTGCCATCTGTATAGATAAAACCGCAATTACGACAACTACTAAAAATATGTGTACAATGTGCCATTTAATTGCACCAAATCGTAATGTCATTGGGCGTGTTTATCGTTTGATCTATTAGAACTCCATGCGTTGGGTTTAATGACACGATTTCTAATTTTATTTTGGTCTAATTTTGTATAAACTGGAACTGAAATCAGCTACGGCAGAACGACTTCATTACCAACATTTTAAACAAAAATATGTAGGAAGATCCCAATTGCAGATCGCCAAATATATATAAAGAGTTTGTAACTGAGCTATACAAACAAAATAAAATAAAAAATAAATGACTAAAAAAAAATAATTTGAGTAAATAAAAATAAAAATAAAAATGATTAATGAACATCGAGATTAGAAATCTGTATTATGTAATTATAATTATAATTTCATGAAGGACTATACCTAATACAGATTACTAAACACATTTGAACTTGTATCTAATTATATTGAAGATTATAATGTAAAAAAAACCAAGTAATTATTATTAAAAACTAATATAACAACAAAAATATAATTGAGATTAGAACTCTAAACGGCATAATATATACATATGTACAATTTCATATATACTAAGTTGAAGGATTGGAACATTTAAAATAGTAGAATTCGAGAATTAGAGATTATATTGCTTGCTCGATAGTGTGGATATATTATTCTGTGTATGTCAAAGTAAAGGGCTACAGCCAATGCAAATCTCGAAACCACTATCACTAGAAATATAGTTCTGCGAATCGAAAACTTCATCTTTATCATTTTGAATAACTTTCCATTATTGTCTTAGTCCATAGTTTGAGTTTGAATTCTTATAATTACAATGTCAATCAATAATTATATTAATCGCTTAGGTAAATATTTTTAAATAAATGTTAAGTTAGATCTTGAACCGGTTTCCATGAAACGATTTCGTTGCTAATTTCTTACTAATATGTGAGATGCTTAAATGAGGTTATAAAGATGATTGATTTGTGTAAATATTTGTTTACTCCTCAGCCCGCATTGACGCACGTATTGCTTGGATCTAACGATGCCTGACTGCCCCTAACGTAGACTTGTCTCTTTTCTTTGGTGACACTGTATCGATTACCGACACTCGTTGGCCATTGTGAAGAGCTTAAGAGTCAACAGCATTGCGAATTCGCAGTCTTCATCACGTTTGTATTTATGATATAATGATATTTTGGGTATGGGTATGCTATGGTAGGCATACAAAGGCAGCATGCGCATAACCTTGTGCAAAATGACCAAAAAGCCATACCGAGACCGAGACCGAAACCGAAATCGAAAACCAAAAGACGGACACTCACAGATGCGGCGGAGGCGGGACGCAGTCGCTCGAATGAATCAAAAATTCAATGCGCGCACACAATGTTGACGATTGCGTCCGACTCCGACGTTTGACGACTCTGCCGCCGAGGCAGTTAACCAGATCGGCGAGACGGAGTCATCAGCCAACAGCGAGTCAGCCGCTCAATTGAAGATTCTTTATGTGCGGCATTTATGGGGTCTTTTGTGGCCATGTCTGCACTGGCAGAGGGTAGCGGGACGAGGAGGAGGCGATCGCACGAAGGGCACGCATAAGGTCTGCAGTTTATAGTTATATATATGCGCGTGTGTGTGTGTGTATGTTTGTATGTTTAGCCTACGTATTTACACATATTTAAACACATCTCAGTTTCCTTGAGAAGCGTTTAACATACATAATGTGAGCTTAGATCATATGCTGTTGTTTTCGACTTTGTTCAATTCCATTTTTGACTGCACACAAGAATACACGAAACAGAATAAGACAGCCGAAGCTCCTCCACAAACACACACAAAGAGATGATATGTAGTCGTACTCGTATTTCGATAAGCTTTGACACGCACTCAGCGAGCTGAGAGATTTTGACTTAGACTTTTGTACACACATATGTAGCTGGAGCACACGGAGGCAACTGGAGCCGATTGGCCGGTCGACAGCGACGACAGCGACGACGACTTGTTTGCTACTGGTTTGCCTTATCGCACGGCTAACTGACAGCAGGGGCCAATGCACAAGGCGCGTTTGCCATCGTTAA